TCATAAGCCGATCTTCACTAAGAGTTAAGCCTGGAGAACAAAATATCAAATTAATTACATATATTATTACCCATATTTACTTATAATTAAAATTTATCAAATGTATGTTAGAAAATAAATAATTTAATTTTTAAATAAATAATAATAAAAAAAATTTAATACCTGATAACTTTAATCTCTGTCGTTGATTATAAAGAATTCCATCCGCCAAATATTCCCATGTATTTTCCCAAACAACTTCTGGTTTAGATATACTGTTACACATCAACAATGTGGCAAATGAGAATCGTAGATAAAAACCAGATCCAGAATGACTTGCTTCTTTAATTGCATCGATGTATTCTTTGTCATCATCCAAAAGCCCAAGAGCATAACAAGCATCTCTAAAAGACAAATATTCTTCACCATTTATTGTGCGAATCTCTTCAAATGATCTCGGACATTTCACCTTATTTAAAAGAATCCTTAAGAAATAAGCTTCCTCTAGATTAGGTGAAACTGAATGAATTCTACCAATGCACTTTCCTACTTCCCTAGGCTTCCAAAACCTATCCTTACGATTCCAAACAAACTTTGTAGGAAACTCAACATACGTAAGTTTTCGTGCATCATTTGAAATTACATTACACTCCATCCAAGCTGTGAACATTGAAGCAGCAACAACAGGTTTGTTCAAAACATCATCAATATCATCGTCTTCCCCATATACAATTTGCTGTTGACCAGGAAGATGAAAAGGTAGTCTAACCACAGAAGGATATCTGTAATGAACATCATATGTAAAAATTCTCCATGATGCTTCACATGTAGATAAATATCTATAATCGTAATATTCATTTATTTCATCGACAACATCATGATTATCACAATCATTGTTGCTTCGTACAATGGCAATTGTAGCTCTATCTGGTCCTTTGTTTATGTATTTGAATAAATACTTTATAGATGATCCCTGATTGCACCATTCAACATTAATTTGTGCCTGATATCTTTTCAATAGATATTTGTTGTAGGGGACAACAATTCTATTATCCAACTTGACACCTGATTTTTCAACAAAATGACCATTGTTTCTTCTCCTATATAAGGGAAAACCATCCTGATCAACAGATGTATGATTGCAGAATTGCTTTAGAAAGTTTTTAGAGCACTTTTTGTCACCCATGCATGGGCAATTGATATTTTCAGCTCCACATGGACCATGAATCATGAACTCATTCACAAGTGAATACAATTCAGGATCTTCATCTTTGTTTGGTATTTCGGCGGATATTATGGGATCGATTAATTCAACAGTGGCTAGCTTGTAGTTAGAATGCATGAATAGACATATATGACTATGTAGCAAACCTCTTTTTTGAAATTCAATTGTATAAACAACTGCAAAATATTTTGCAAAAAAAAATATGGTTAAACCATAAGCAAAATGTTAAAAATATGAAATAAAAAGCATTTAATCTCATGAATTATGAAATAAGTTAATTTTAAATACCAACTTGAACTATGCCGAAGATATGATTCTTCCTTAAGTCTTTAATAAATGCATCAAGCTTGATCTTGAACAACCTACATAGTATATCAGGTCTGTCTTCTGGTTGAAGTGAAGTATCCTTAAGAAACCTTTTCACCTCTAGCCATTTGGGATTACACGTAAAGGTTATGAAGAAATCAGGATATCCATACCATTTACATAACGACATGGCATCCAAATAGTTTTGAAGCATATAGCGTGCACCACCAGTAAATGATGAAGGTAATATCACACGTTGTCCGACGTTGGAGATACTTGTAGCTCCTTGAGCTTTTTGCCTACGTAAATTCTCATAAGACTCGCATCTAAGAACATGTTGTTGTCTGCGTATGTAATGCAATCTCTCACTTTCAATCATAGTATACGCATCTACCAGAAATTGTTGAAACAACCTTTTTGAATTAAGAATCAGTGAGAACGAATGATCATGTCTTGAATTCTAAAAGCGAAAAATTCTCTCATTGTACATGTCGCCCGCTTACTGTTGGTTGTATCTGTAATTCCTCTATGAAGAATGTCAACACTATAACCATCATCCCCACATGGAAATAGTAGTGGATATTGGAGAGGAAGGTAAGAAGGATGCAATTCACTGATACGTTGTAGAAAACCCGATTTTGTTTGAACAACGATATCTCTATTTTCAATCGAATCTGAAATGTCACCTACAATTAAAGCTGCAACCTCAGAAGCAGTTGGTAGGTTATATGTTCTTCCATCACGATTCCTTTTCCCAATAATTCTTAACTTCATAGCAACGTGAAGATTTTTCTAAAAAGCATATCTTACCATTCTATAAGAGCTAACCAAGACATTATTTGAATCTAGCATGACCTTCAATTCTTCAATAATTTCATTATCAAATGATGTAGATTGTTGGTTTTCCCCACTATATGAATGGAAAATATAAATAACATCAGCAATATATATATATATATATATATATATATATATATATATATATATTAAAATAGAGTATGAATAAGAAAATTGAAAATTTACCGAAAACATCTCTGCCTATTTGAATTTTCATTATCAGTATCATAAATGTATAACTGAGAGAATTTTGGCTGCGATCCTTTTGCTGGTAAAAGACTTCCAATACTATGATAATTTTGGCCACCAAGTCTGAAAATGTATGGAGCATTTCCTTTATTGATTGAAGAATCAATCTTACCACCCATCGATGTAAAAGAAAACATTGAATTGTAACGTCGTATATTTTTCCTGAAGTTTTTGCTTTTACAATCGTTTGATTGAAACATTCTTTCATAAGTTGGTGGTGCCTTTTTTAAATCTAGTAGTTGAACCTTGCCATAATCACAACATAATGAAAAATTTGTGCTCTTTTTTTTTTTGCCTCTAATGGATTCATTTGTCCATAACTTTGCACGACATGTTTGGCATACAACAATCTAATCACCATGATCCAAATATTCTGTAAAAAAATTAAGTGTTATTAATATAATACTAACTTTATAAATATATACCATATAGGAATTGATTTGAAAAAAAATAATAAAAATGGATATATTTTTGTTTACCTTTGGAAATACCAACGATTAAGTTTTCAGATACGACCTCATGTATATTTTCTACATCTGCTATCAGGTCAATTAATGGAATAGGAGATAAATGTTTCAATTTCCTTTTTAATTTATGACATCCTGGATTTAACATGATCGATGATGAAGATTGACATATTGTAGATGCAGTTCTGGATGTCATATCTTTTGAAAGCACATAGTAGTTACTTTTATTTGCTAATGTTGAAGTGGGGTAGTTATTGAAACCAATGTTAGCTGAAACAAATAATAGTATATTAAAAAAAGATTATAAATTTATTAGAGAATGCATTATAGTAAATTTAAAAAGAAAATTATTAACATTTGTAATGTTAGATAATGGAGTTCTAACATTTATGTATGAAGGAGAAAATTGTAAGGTCGTATTTTCATTTCCTCGAGATCTATATGAATGAACATTTTCATTTTGAAGACCAACGCTCTTAAATTGATCTGCAAAAAGATATATTATAAAAATTGAAGACATGACGTAAAAAACAAAATAAGAAGGTAAAATTGTATAAGATTATAGGGTAATAACATAGAAAGATGAGAATTTATGTATTGTATTTTTCAGTTAAAAGAAGTGTAAAACGTGGTTGATTTTAATAAGAAAATTACGGCTATCCATGTTTTTTAAGACATGTGGAGTTGATGGATTTAGAATGCTGGATCTTATATTTGTTGTCTTCAATCGCTTATTATCCAAATATAATTTTCTCCGTCTTCTATTCTCTTTTGCTTGCAAGTAGTAGATATGGTTGTTTTCTTCTGCATAAGAAATATAAGCATATGATATAAAGTTAACAATAGGTTGATAATTGTATTGATATAGAATATTAATAATAGTGAAGAAATAAATGTACCTTTGTAACCTTTGTTAAAAAATATTCCAGATGATGAAGATTCAACGTACAACGAAGCAGATAATATCTTTGCTTTTTCTTGTCATGTTAATACGGGTTGGTGTTAGAATGGTACATAGTTTTATGTTATTAAAGAATATACAAAGAACTTAAAAAATATGTAAAAATAAAATTAAAAAATGGTAAATGATAAACATACCATTGTTAATTGAAGAAAGAACATTAGTAGCAGTTGAAGATTGTTGGATTGATGTAGCAGACAAATTAACGTGTTGTCTATTTTCTAAGTAAAAAGTATTTAATTTTCTAGTTTTTTTTAGAATTAACTGACTTCATGATCTGCGTGCGTTCTGAACAATTAACACAATTCAGTTAAAAAAAATAAATGCTATGCACATAATTAATAAAACAACACAACCGGATTTATTATTTAAAATTAGACGAAAGCCATCGAAAAAAATAAATAAAGTAAATATAATATAAGTGGGACCATAGTTGTAATGTAGTTACAACCTAATATTTTTATGTTAATAAAACCTAAATATAAAATAATGACAATACCACTAAATCATTTGTCTTAAAAATGATTTGTACATCAATATTATATACATCAATACCACTAATTTTTTTTTAAATTATAATTGTAATATAGAATTGCAGTTTAGTATTGTCATTATAGTCATAGATTTATTATAGGTTAATAATTTTTTTACTTTATACACTTTGAAATGTATAATTTATCATTAATATCCCCTATTTTCAAAAATTGGCAGCCACGTATGAAACATCCCTAACCTCCCAAACCTAACGTACGAATCTACATTTCTCCATTTCTAGGTATTCGAAAAAGAAAGAAATGATGAATGGATGGGTACAATTAAACGTAGCCCTAAACCTATCTATCCAAGTGACTACAAATCTCGTTTGTGGCGTACAAAAAATGAAATGGAGGTATCATTCAGAATGTGTATGTAGGTCAGAACCTTGACGATTAAACAACATAGAACGATTTGTGTCGATATTCTCGAAAATCAGGAAATGAGAAGGATGCGATTAGTTACATATTATCGGGTGTTTTCAAATGGAATGTGGAACGATTCGGAAGAGGATATCGTCACCAGAGACTTACATCAATTAATAGTCGATGAAGGAAGTGACGAAGGTAAGAGACGTGGAAGAGAAACTTACAACCAAAGTCGATGTCGAACTCAGAGACTTACATCAATAAATAGTCGATGTCGAACTCAAAGATTGAAGAAACGAAAAATTGGGGGTTGAAGACAGCAAGATTGAAGGTAAGAGATGGTCAATTGTTTGTGAATCTTAGGATTTATTAACAGAACATACATTATTGGGAAGAAATTTACCTGGTTTTATTTTTGCAGAACTCTTGTTTATAAAGATATTAGCGAAAACTGAAGAACTTCAAAAGAATACCTCGAAATCGATTAAGAATGGAAACACAATCAGGTATTTTTCAATTTGCTAAAAGTTTTGAATTTCGTATTGTGTGAGTATTATTTTAAAATTTTGAAATTTGAATTTGCTAAACATTAGGCTTAATTTTGTGCAAAATTATTCACTGATTTATATTAATACGAGTAAATAAAAAAATACCTTGAAGTTTCATTTTTTGTGATATTTGTTAATATTATTTAATTTAGATTGTATTTTAAAATTTTATTTGTACAAAAATAATTTAATATTAAAAAAAATTAAAAAAAAAAAAAACCACCGTGTGTTGAAAACAATATATATATATATATATATATATATATATATATATATATATATATATATATATATATATATATATATATATAGTATTATGCATAATTCTTGTATTTGGAAACTAAAACTTATTAATTTGTTTATTGTACCTTACATTTTTCTTATTTAGTCAAAACAAAAGAAACTAAAAAACTATTTATTATGTTATCATATTTGATTAAAAAGTAGATACAGATATCTGAAAAGTAATTATATGCTCAATAAATTAATTGTTTTAATCCTGAATAGGAAAATTATGATCAGATACCACAAAGGGAGATCCAGACAATTGTCAACCATCTTTTGTTTAACCTATTAAACCCTATTGATGTGTTGATTGATAAAGATTACAAACCATTGACCTGATGTTTCTCTTAGATGGACTGTTTTGCCCTTTTGGTTTTGCTATAAGTTGGAATGTTTTTCCCTTTTCTGTTGGGTGGCTTCATTTATGTTGTTTACTATTTCAATTTGTTGTCTTTTTCTTGCTAGACCCTGGTATACTTGGTTTGGGATGTCTGTTGATTCTTGCTTCCTTCATATGAGGTTTATTGCTTCCTTCATATGAGGTTTATTGGCATTTTTGCCCTTGTTGATGCTCCTGGTATGTTTTATGTCGCTTTATAGTTGATTGCCTTTTTTTGGTTCATTCCTATTAGTCCGTTGCCCTTTATGTGGCTTTATATGAGAAGTAGGCCGCTATATTATGAAATAAGTTATTTGGTAAAACAATCCATATATAAGGGCAGAATTGTTGTTTTCTATTAAAAATAAATAATGATAGTTTTTTAGTATACGACATAAACAGAAAAACAAACAATGATAGGAACACGGCAAGATTAATAGGAAAGGGCATAATTATACTTTTCTATTAAATACAAAGAATAACAGATTATTATTTTTATTTTTATAATTTATTCGAATTTGAAGTTTTTGCCATTTGGCTAAAAAACTGCAATAATGAAAAGTAAATAGCTATGGAATAGGAAAATTGTTTTAATCATGAATTTTACCAAATTATGATCAAATACCAGAAAGGGAGATCCAAAACTCTTAGCAAATTCCTTCTTTCTGGACATGGTCACCTGATGCAAATTGCAATAAATAACAATGTTCTTACAAAAATATAATTACCATTTTAAGTCATTTTCTCATATTTAAAATATTTATTTACCTCAAAAAATATTTGTATTCATATAATAGTTTTGTTAGTTTGTCATATAATATTTTTTTTTAAAAAAAACACTTGATAAAAGAAAAAAAAATGTTAAGCGCTTATTTTAGAAAAAATGACAAGTTTTTGTTTGTTTGATATATCTTCAAGCTGCATACCCAATAAATGGATGGACTGGAGTTGCTGCATTATCTCATGTACAGTGTGAGGTACTAATACACCTTCCAAAGCTGCTTAACTTGAAGAACCTTGCGAAAACTGTGTTATAGCTACCAATATAAACCCCACCCTTCATGAAGTAAGAAAAAATTGAATGTGAGTATAATTAAGTTTATCTTCTTAACATATGCTAATTTTATTTTGTCTAACTATAGGCTTATTATAAGTGGGATGTGACCATATGTTATACAACAAAACTATATGTTGGCACAAAGGAAGTTGAGGAAATATAGAAATTAGCAACATATAATGCTTTTTTCTTCAAAAAAGTTTCACACATTTTGGTTTTGCTTGTGTAAAATACTATCTTATTGTTACGTCTATTTTCTTTTTTATTTTTTCTTAATTAAGCATTATACTACTATTGCTATCGGTAGTCTATCCAAATTTTTAGAAGTCTTTGATTAGTGATTACAATATTTAATTATCAATATTTTATTCTTACCCGTGGTTTCCATAAAGAATAACATATTTTTATTTTTATTTTTATATTGTATACGAATTTGAAGTTTTTGCCATTTGGCTAAAAAAACTGCAATAATGATGTTTCTGTTAGATGCACTGTTTTGCCCTTTTGGTTTTGCTATAAGTTGGAATGTTTCTCCCTTTTGTGTTGGGTGGCTTCATTTATGTTGTTTACTACTTGATTTTGTTGTCTTTTTCTTGCTAGACCCTGGTATACTTGGTTTCGGATGATTCTTGCTTCCTTCATATGAGGTTTATTGGCCTTTTTGCCCTTGTTGATGCTCCTGGTATGTTTTATGTCCCTTTATAGTTGATTGCCTTTTTTGGTTCATTCCTATTAGTCCATTTCCCTTTATTTGCTTTTTATGAATAGTAGGGCGCTATATTATGAAATAAGTTATTTGGTAAAACGGTCCATATATAAGGGCAGAATTGTCCTTTCCTATTAAAAAGAAATAACGATAGTTTTTTTAGTATGCGACATAAACAGAAAAACAAACAATTGCAATGTAAAAACTATTCGTTATGCCCTTGTACACAAGTACATTGCTTGTTGTGAATTTAAATTTAACTGTTTTTAAACATATTATTTTCCAAGATTAATTTTAGTGTAATTGTGATACAAACAAATTTTAAAGCGAAAGTGTCAAATAAGTAAAAATGTACTATTAAACCACTTCAAATAAACAAAACAAACGTATAAAAACAAACGAAAGTCCCCAAAATACTTGAACGAAACAACGAAATAGTCTTTAAAACAAAACCAAACTTAATAATTGTTTTTAAAAACCATAATCAACTCAGTTCTCCACTTTTGGCACCCAAACTGGAGTATCTTTACTAAAAGATTCCATATTTGATTTTATAGAATTTGCATCACCATCATCTTCTAGATCATAAACGTCATCACCATAACAACTCACTTTTCCACTTTTGGAACTAAAAGTGGGTTTACCTCTCCCATTGATTTTCTTTTAGATTTAATTGAACTCAAATCACCTCCACCATCAACATCATAAATGTCATGGAGGTTGCGCTTCAAATCACCTGATATTTTCAATGGACTTGTTGCGGATGATTTATCAATTGTTGAGGGAGTAAAATTCTCATCCGTTTGTGATATGACATCCTAAATTAAAAAAACATAAGTTGACAAGCGATCTAATTAAATATAAATAAAAGTTAATATGAGAATATAACATACCTTTTGAACATTTTGAACGACCTCATCTGATTCCATGGGTACTTCATTTAAGCACACTGATTGAACACTCTAGAAAATAATATGGAAATATGTAAAACGTTATGTATGTAAATAAAAAATAAACATAAATATTGAACATTAAAACATTATTTACCATAAGTTCTAGTTTACTTTCCAATTCTAAAACAACAGACTCATCTTCTGTAAGTTTGACAACGGTGTAGATATTGTTATAGTTGGTAACATTGTAGGATGTAACATCTACAAGAAATGCAAATTTGCGGTTTTTCAAGACGTTCATATGATTTGGATATAGTTCCAAACTGTCACTAGCATGTAAGAAGATTGTTTAATATATTAAAACAAATAAAATGTTATTTGATAAAAAAATATGAATAAAAAACTATACCTCTTCATGTATTTTTTTCAACTCGAATGCACTTATATCCAACAATCTTTTTTCTTCCCTATCAAAAAGAGTGAATCCGATGGTGTCAGTATGATCTTGTACGTTGATTGGAATTATATACCTAAAAAATATTGGATTAGTTTATTATTTTTGTTGAATGATTGAAATGATTAATATAAATGGAGGTATGTGTATACTTTATAACAGTATGAAAATTCGAATCGTTGCAAGCTGCATTTTTACACTTAATTACAACACTATCTTCCATCTTGCCGGCGGCGGTATAGGAAAGATTGGTTTTGGGCACATTGTTTATCATTCTTCCACATTTGTAGCACGCATCGTAATACCAATGTAGATTCTGTCTTATATTGACGAAGGAACCAACTAATAGAAATTTCATTTCCTATATCAAATAAAATGTAAAATTAAAAAAAAAATACAATGTTCAAATAAAATTAAAGGATATAAAGTAAAGAACATATACCTTAAGTGGTTCTGTGATCTCACAAACAGTTTTTAAAGGGAAATCGCCTTTAAAATCATCTATATAAGAGGTAGAGTAGCTTGGGAGTGTAGTAATGCTTTTTTCAGACATACCTCCTTTGTTATTAGCCTTCAATCTGCAATGTTTAAAATTAATTTATTAAATATAAGAAATTGTATTCATCTAAATAAATATAATAACATAAATAAGTTTAAATAAAATTTAAAAAACTAACTCTTTCTTAAACTCATTAAATTCAACAATGTCTGAATTAATGAACATTTTGGTTATATCAAAATGACTTTGGGCTTGACCAATTCCTGTAAAAATAGAACAGTCAATAAAAGTAGATTGGAAAACAAATTAAGTAATAAAATACAAACCATTCCAAATGTTAAGTTTCACGAACTGCATCACTATAACAACACAAGTAATCGTGGTGTTACTTTTCAGGTAATGTGACATATCATGTGCCTGACTTCCAAATATAGTGACATTGAGGTGTACAGACCTAAATAAAAAATTAATTTAATTAGTATGAAAAAATATGACTAAAAATAATAAATAAATGAAATAAATATCATCTCACTCTAAGTTGCTAATAGTCATCTTCATGTAATGTTTAGATGGATTAGGATTGGTTGTCTCAAGTGGCCTAAATGAGACAATTAGCCCAATAACATCTACACAATTTTAAAATAAAAAAAATATAAGAATCAGTTAAATACTAACATTTATAATTTATTTCTTTTAGTTATAAAAGTGAATGGAATACCAAAAAATGAAAACAGAATACCAAAAAGTCCTTGACGGCTTGACGCCAATCTCTGTAACCTAACTTATAGTAATAGAATAAAATGTATACCTTTAATATTTAGAGTGAGATAACACATAGTCACATTCAAACTAAAAAACATTCAATAAAAATATAACACATTAAAAAAATTGACATTAATAATTTCATATATTGATAATTGATATTAATATTAAAATAAAATCAAACAATCATACACGTTCAATACGATTAAATCAAAAACTATCAAATAAAATACTCAAACATTCATATTACGTGTTATCTAGATAAGAAAAAGCCAATCACTCATACATTCAATTTGATTAAGTTAAAAACAATAAATAAATATAGCCAAAAAAAATACAATATTAATATCACAGAGTCAAGAAGAACCAATGTTTTAAGAACCGGTTTGAACCGACTGGTCGAACCGGTTGGACCGGGAACCGGGAGAGGGAGCGGTTCAACTATCACCGGTTTTACATTGATTTTTGGATCGGATTGAACCGGCCAGTTTTTAGAAAAAACTGGTTGAACCGGTCGAAATAAACCGGTTGAACTGGTTAAACCGAATAAAAACACATGAAAAAGAACCATTTACATAATAAACTTTGGTGATTTTTTTCAAATCTATTTATTTTTCTCTAAATAAAAACATATGGTAAATGTTATAAATTCTTTTGATGTGTTTGTATTCATCAAAAACTATATTTTGTTTCGGTATTATACTTTATTTTCTTTTTGACATATATGGATTGATGTAGAACACTGAAACTTATGGTTAGGTGTTATTTTAATGTACTTGGATTCATCTACAACTTATTTTTATATGGATTTTTAATGTTTGAACTTGTAAACATCAAAAATACATGAAAAATATAGAAAATGGTTCACCCGGCGGTCGAACCGGGAACCGGTCACCATACCGGTTTTTAAAACATTGAGAAGAATCAAAAACTTAACTTACATAGAAGTCTTTATTATTAAGCCAAAAAAATCCTTCGAATAGTACAATAAAGTCAAAACAATCTTTAATTAATTATGGTTAACGGTGTGAGAAGTCTTTGATTAGGATTATGAGTGTGAAGATTAAACTAATTGTGAATAATGTTTACAAATTTTGAGAATTAGCCGATTAGGAATTACAACATTAATCAACAATCTAACTCAATGCATGATTGGAATATTGTTTGTGTCTGCACGATCAGCCTTTGATGGTCTGATTGTTCGTTCGTCTCCTGATAAATGAAGATTAATGGATTATATTTTGAAATTTAATGGGTCTTAAATAATTTTTACTATATTATTTTATATATAATCTATAATTTATATATATTAAAATATAAAGTTAGCGGTTCGGTTAATAATGGTTCTGTCACACCCCGAAACCCAAGGCGGAAACGTTTCCGGGGTGGACTCCACGTTGAGTATCAAATCCAATGCACATAGTAAGAAAAGTAAACAACCATTACATTACATATGAAAATTTACATTTGTTCAAAAGTAAAGTTGTATAAGTGTGATACATATGTATATATATGAACAAAAGTAAGACGTGTCTTCTACGTACTCCGTCTTCACTAAAAGGATCATTGGGTACCTGTCTAATGCGGACTTGAGAATACAAGCATTTTAAAAATCAGCATAAAGTTGGTGAGTTCATAAGCGGTTTTGTTTTCTGAAAATGTACGAGTTTCCTTTCGTTTTCTGAAAATGTTACAACCCAAGAAAATCCCATATTTTCTTTTATGTAAAGTTTAGTTATCTGTTATGTTACACGGTTCTGGTTACGTTCACTTGTTATACTAGGAAAATCCCATATTTTCCTAAGAGTTGACTATCGATCTGAAATGTAATATAAAAGATGTATACTGAAAACTTGGTTATCCTTGTGAAGTGTATGTTAGTTTTAACACATATATAAAACTAATAACTATAAAGTAAACTAGTTACTAAACCTATTATTACTAAAAAGTAAATCTCTGTTATCCAAATTGCGAGTTCCATAACCATACGATAGACTAAATATGGCAATAAGTAGTCCATCTCACTTTATGACTTTTGTCACCATTGAACCTTTCGGTTCGGCTGTAGCTAGCAGCCAGGTGCAGGGTAGTCAACCCCGTATAGATCTATACACTCAAGTCACGCTCCCTATTTAAGAGATTCTGGTTACAGGGCGGTCCTCCACTCGCGTATCTATGTGGAGTGTTCTCCAAGGACGTGTCTCCAATTTATAGGAATAACAAATTTACTAGTAATAATACAGAAAGATCAAATGACGATCCTCCACTCGCGTATCTTTGTGGAGTGTTATCGAGGACAAAACAATATTTTAAGTTTCATGTTCAAAGCTCAATGTTATGCTTTTAACTGTTATGATGTGAGAAAACCATTTGTGAAAATATAAAATACAACAATTATAATGTTTTTCACAAATAATATGATAGTGTGTTCTGCAAGTTCAACGGTTGTCTTTTATGATTGTCAGTGTTAAAAGCATATATAATATGAAACATAACACATATAAAACAAGTTTGAGTACAAGTATTCCTTGTACTTTTCTTGTATTCCCCCTGAAAACAGTGAAAAACATTGAAAAAGGGTAGGGGTATGAACTCGCCAGACAAGAAAACGTGTCGGTTTGGATGCTATGTGTCGGTTTGGGGCTTTATAACGCGCGAGGTTCCTATGTAATATGAAATGGTATACAAATGTATCTAATTAGACTTTAATCACTTATTAGATATGATTATACACTCCAATATGAGAAAACACTTCAAATCAAGTGTTTGGAGTGACCCGGGTGACATCTACGGATGTGTAGGACTTTGGAAAATCTGTTTACTCTTCAAGAGTAAACTCCCTATGGAGTTTTCGGCTGTAAGAGCAACTCCGCATGAGTTCACGGCCATGAACTCATGGATGTGGGGTTTTATGGTGCTAAATGGTCAAATAACACTTGTGAAGGGTTGCTATGATTTAATCTAAGGCATAGGAATGAGTTTAACCACCAAAGGAACCATCAAATGGAGTTTACGGCCCTAAACTTGGAGTTTACGGCCGTAAGCTCCTATACCTTTCTTATATTAATGATTTGGTTGCCTTAGATCAATTACATGTGATTCAAACCAATTTTACAAGCTTTAGAATGAATTTAAGGCATCATTTGACTAGTGTATATGAGTTTACGGCCCAGGAACCCATTCTAGGGGGGTTTACGGCCATGAACTCCTAAAGGGAGGGTTTTCATCATGTTTAAGGCCCCTAAATCGATTGTGGTTGGTTCTAGAATTTAATCCAAGGCTATTGGTGTGTTTAAGTGGCATTTAAACACTCAAATTTGAGTTTACTCCCCATGAAGATGAGTTTACAGCCCAAGCATGTTCTTGGCAAGTAAACTCATGTTTAATCCTCAAAATTTAAGTTTAAGGTGTTCTAAGTCCATCCCCTTAAGTCATTTAGCCATATCTAAGCTCCAAAAGTGGATTGGAAGGGTTTTAAGGCTCAAAAACACCTTATATGTGTGTTTACGGCCCAAGCGTGTTCCAGGGCCGTAAACACATGAAAATGGTCCTAAATGATAGATTGAACATGGATATGGAAGCTAGAAAGGTTGTACAACAAGTTAGGAAGGTTACCTTGATGAAATGGAGCTTAAATTTAATGATTTTGGACCTAAAGTTGGCTTGGATGAGAGAGGTTAGAGAGAGAGTAGTGAGAGAGTGCAAAATCTTCAAATGGAAGCTTAAACCACTTTAAATATGTTCCAAGTTCGGGACACGGTGGAATTCTACCCGATACCGACGTTAGACGTGGCTTTTGGTCGCACCCGATTAAGTTGTCGTAACCCGATATGGTCGATTCTAAAATTTTTCCGATTACTAATATGGAGTGTTAATATGAATTCTAAACATGTTTAGACACCCATTAAGCCATAATAGAAATCTCAAATTTATGACTTAAATTAAATAACGTAAACGGAAACGAATTCAAAAACGACAACTTTATTAACGAAAAGGGTTACAAATGATGGAACGAACTTTCGGGTTGTCACACTATCCCCCCATTAGAGGTAATTTCGTCTCGAAATTCAGAATTAAGATACAAATCATGGATCTGGGAAGAGATGTGGATACTTCTGTTTCATCGAGTCTTCACGCTCCCAAGTGAATTCCGGTCCCCGCTTGGCATTCCAGCGAACCTTATTATCGGGATGCGACTTTGTTTCGTGCGTTTGATCTCTCGATCCATGATTTCGATTGGTTCCTCCACGAAGTTTAAGTTTTCGTTGATCTCGATCTCGTCCAGAGGGATCACGAGGGTTTCATCGGATAAGAACTTTTTAAGATTCACGACGTGAAAGACGGAGTGGATGTTGCTAAGCTTGTGAGGTAATCGAAGTTTTTCTTTATTTACAGTTGGCCCCTAGACTATAGTAATGTTGGCCAATTTGAGTAGACTTTTAATTTTACTATCACACTTAACAACACTTTGAAAATTAATATAGAAGATTTTTATCAATACTTTGAAAATCAATATAGAAAATTAGTTTTCAATACTATCTTTGTGTGATTTTTAATGCCATTGACTTCAACTTCTAAGTATAAATCAGTATTACTTAGTTCCTGATGGAGACTACACGCATCAAACATGATCTCAACGACATTATCATCCATAATTGAGAGAGGAATATATTTCATTACTTTTCCAACAACCGATGGATATCTGCAAATTACTTTAATGCGCTTTTGTTGCTTATCAATCGACGTAGCAATATGGATTTGATCGATGAGTTCATTGAACTGTATTTTGCATTGAACCTTAATAGCTTGATTCGGAGACTTGTTGTAAGTTATACCTTATTCTCCGTCACAAATTTTTCCATCCCAATAACATAATAATGTAATAAATTTTCATGTCATGGCAATGAAAATCTATAAAAACAAAAGTATTTATTTCAAAGGATTTAACATCATATTAATATATAAAACACATGCATCGATTACAAAACTTACTACCCTAAAAAAGAACAAAGAACACGTATTATAAGAATCACATAAGTTACTTTTGCAAGATCTTAAAGATATTATATAGTAACACAAACTAAATACAAAAGCAATGAAACTCACGCACATTATCAACATGTTTGAAGTGATGAAAGAACCATTAACATATTACAGTGGAGTAAAAGATATACAAGAAACCTATAACAATAAGGAAAAGACACATATTATGCAATAAAGCATTAACCAACAGAAGGCAATTAGAAGGACTTACCTAGGACCGGCAGAATTAGGGCGGTTGTAGGGTATTCCGGCGGTGGAAGAAGAGCCGTAGGTGGTTCTTGCGATGGAAGCTCTGTGAAGATGAGTACAACGAAGGAGGGAACGCGGGAGAGACAACCATTTGAAGGAAACAGAGTTTACTAGGTTTTTTTTAATTAAAAATACAACTAGTTGGTAAATAAAGTTGAAACTACCTTTACTTGGTAAATGAAATTTTCGATAACTATGTTTATGTAAAAAACTCGTTGGTGGGCAGTAAACCCTAAGTTCCCAAATTGTTTGGCATTTTAACGATGACAGGATAAACTACTTCTCGCTCTATGCCTATGTCGAAGTGTTGATGAGTAAGTTTCTACTTCAAAAACCTCCTTGTGTTTGACTTTTTGAAAGTCGCAAGAGAAATCCCGTTTACTTGTTATATCAATTTTTTCAGAGATTATCTTTGAATTATGTCGCCTTTGATATCTTTTGTTCATTATAGTTAATCAATACGTTGACTCTATTTAATTTTTTGGATTTTGGATGTCATTTATCACCTATTCATTGGAAACAGAGTCAAGAAACTCATTTTGAAAAGATTTATTATTTGCAGTTCGAGATGTCATTGGATACTTGTTATTTTCGGAAGGAGCACGTATGAAGGGGTTAAGCTAGGTTTCGCCTGTGTTCATGTAATTTCTTTATTTTTGAGTAGATTTAAGTTATGTTTTGCTAGGGGAAGCCATTGATGGAACTTATAGTACAAGAGGTGACCCCCTCTAGGGTTTTAGGTATTCCATCACTACATACACGATGTCACTCTTCTGGAACTCTTAGTGTTATAGAGTCTCCAATTAGTACAATGTAATTGATTAGTTGCCTGAGTTTCTTGTAATGCATTTTAATTGACATCAATTTTGCTTTTGGAGATCTTATATTGCTCTAGGTTGGACACACTCTTACAACTATGGAATAAAATTATTGCTAGACGCTTTTGATATCCTATGAATTCAGGTCCCTTTCTCTTCGTTATTCTATGGGCCTCTTTTAAACCATTATGTTGTTGAAGACATTTGGATAGTTGGATTATTACCAAAATGTAATATGTGACTCACATTTCCTTAAAAAAATGCTAACAACCATTAACTATAAGTATTACAAAGACAAAACTGTAAAATTGGTCTTTGTGATATTCAAAAAACTTTAGATAGGGTCCAAAACGTTTTTAACTTGCAAAGACAAAACTGTAAAGAATTTCCTATGATTTTAGTTCAAAAAATGTTGAAATGACTATTTTTCCCTTCTCATTTCTTTTTTGTATTTTTATATTTGTTTTAATACCTTATTAATTAGAAAACAAACAAAAGAAATTTTTTTAAAAACATGTCGGGTCCAACCTACCCATAGGTTCTCTCTCTCTCTCTCTCTCTCTCTCTCTCTCTCTCTCTCCTACCCATAGGTTCTCTCTCTCTCTCTCTCCTACCCATAGGTTCTCTCTCTCTCTCTCTCTCTCTCTCTCTCTCTCTCTCTCTCTCTCTCTCTCTCTCCTAGATCTGAACCATAGATTGTAAAAATCGATTTCAATAATCTTTAAAAGTTGCATCAAAATACAAGCTTTATAATTCCCACCTCCAATTTTACACATGAACAAAAAGGTTATAATGCTTGAAGGTGGGTTTGCTCTTTCCAGATCTGAAACGAAGATGCATGGAGAATGCAAGATCTGAAATGAAAGTCACATACAAAACTCTAATCGAAGAACACCGCCTGAAATGACGATGAGCTCTGATGAACACCACCTGGAACACAACCGATGAACATCACTTGGAACGATGACGAACTTAGGAGATCCACCATCGATGATGATTTGAAGTCAGGGGCGTAGCAAGACTGTCTTCCTCCTATCCCCTGGAGATCCATCCACAAACACCACTATTAACGTCGTTTGGTTGTAGCATCAACCAAAATTGATATCTATTTGTGGTTTGTGGTTTTCGTTTCCTGCAAACATAACCCAAATTTATTGCTTCTTCTTCCATGGGGAAAGGTAGAATACCAGATCGGAATCCACACAACCCAAATAGATTACATCCGATTTCAAACCCAAATACATTGCTTCTTCTTCTTTGAGTTCAATCATCCATCAATTTATGTATGTTTATGTTAGCAGTTATTTCTAAAAAACCCATAAATTGATTTATGTGTGTTTATGTTAATAGTGTGTGTGTTCTGTGAGAGTTTAGGGGAGAGAGAGAGAGAGAGAGAGAGAGAGAGAGAGAGAGAGTATTGGTAGTGGTGGGTGTGGACCCACTTCCTTCATTTTTAATTTTTAATTAATAAATTATAAAAGAAAATATAAAAAAAAAATACAAAAAATGAAATGGAAAGGGCAAAACAGTCTTTTCAAGTCCTCCAGGGACTAAAACCGAAGGAAATTCTTGATTTTGGACCTTCCGTGCAAGTTAAAAACGTTTTGGACCATATCCAAAGTTTTTTGAATACCTCACGGACCAATTTTATAGTTTTGTCTATTGCAAATAAAAGTGTTTATTTATAATGAGTTATGTTACCACTCCTAAACCTCCACTGATATTCAAAGGATATTAAGAAGAGTATTAGAAATGTCAAGCTGTTTAGTGTTTCTTATTGCTTAAGCTTTCAATTTTCCTTGAAATAACCAAGTCCCATTTTTGTTTCTCAATCTAATGACAGGAAAATATAAAAGGAGGTCTGTAGCTTGTGTTGGAGAAGACAGAATCAGTAACTTGCCAGATCACTTGATAGCCTCAATCTTAGAGCGGGTCCCTGTTCAAGATGCTGTAAAAACAAGCATTATATCAAAAATATGGAGGTACAGATGGACCGAAATGAGGGCACTGGTTTTTGATAACTACTTCTCAAAAAAGATGGCAAAAAACAAAGCTTTTGGTCATAATGGGTTTATAAGGAGAAGCATTATATCTAAAAACTTGAGGTACATATTGACTGAAAAACAGGCGCTGGTTTTTGATAAACAGTTAAACAGATTTGCATAAAACGAAGCTTTTGGTCTTAATGGGTTTATAAGGATCATAAACCAAGTTTTGACCCTTCACAAGGGTCCTATCTTGAAATTTCATCTCATCTCCATATACCAGACATTTCTCTTGATAGCTTCCAAGAAGTCGATCAATGGATGCTACTCTTATCAAGAAACGGAGTCAAGGAGCTCAATCTTACCACTTCAAATCTATGTTATGAACTTCCTTCGTATGTGTTTCTTTGTCTAGAATTGAAAAAGTTGAAACTGAAAAACTGTTTCTTTAAACCACCACTTAATTTTGAAGGATTTCTAAATCTTAAAGATCTTTTTCTCCGACGTATCGACTTTGGGGCTAACTTGTGTGGAGCTAAGATCAACCTACCACAACTTAAGCAGTTGTCTCTTCATAAGTGCACAAACGTTTACAATTTCAACATTAAGCTTACAAAACTGCAAAATTTGACTGTCATTGCTTGTCCTGATGCCATGTTGACCACAATGTTAAGTAACATGACTAGAATTAAATGTTTTTTCGTCGATGCTCAGTTTCTTAAGGTATAATTCTCAAAAGGAATTTGCACAAAAGATATATTTTTCATGTAGTTTAGGCAAGTTAAAATCTAACTTTCACCTCAAAGATTTTTACAGCAGAAAATATTCCAAAGTGGTTTCCGCATCCGGTTAATAGTTTAAAGCGTATGTGGTTCCGAAAATTTCAACTTGGTGACGTGGATCAACTTAATGGTGCTCTTTGTTTGCTTCAGAAGTCACCAAATCTAAAGACACTGGGGATGCCCTTGCAAATGGTAAAGTAACAAGTGCTAAAATTATATAATTATTTTACTTATATAATGCAAGAGTTGGGAGCTAAACATCCGTTGCATTTTTGTGTTGTTTCAGGAGAGCCTCGAGTGGATGTGGGACCTGCTTCAAATTATTTCGAATCCCCAAACTTGGACTGTACATTGGATCGATTGCAAACTGTTGAGATAAGATATTTAGAAGGATCAAAACCAGACCTGCTTTTTATAAAGCTTCTTCTTGCTCATTCCCCTTCTCTTCAGAAGTTTAACCTTAGACCAAGTGAAGCTTCTGATGTTCAAAAAAGACTTGACATTGCAGTGGATATTATGCAGTTTCCTCAACCCTCAACAAAAGCAAAAATGTTCTACTTGAATCCCAATCTGTAATTCTGTAATGAGGAATGTTCAGCTATATTGCAATGTAGCTTTATACTTACATCCTTATCTTTCTTTTGTTTTTATTCCCCTTGGCGATTTTGATAAATGCTAAGTATGAATTCTGTTGCTTTATACTTTGGATCACTATATTACTCCTTTAGGCAACATGCTGATTTCAGCATTGCAAATGGCAATGGCCTTTGTTGGTTGCACGTCTACCTTGCATGTAGTTTAAAGCGGTATTGATTTGCGGATGATAGGAATAGAATTAATGTTATGTTTATTTTTTATGATATTTTAAAGTAAGTACACTTGCATTTGTTGAATGTAAAATCTTGGATTGTGTTTCTAGAATTTATTGGCAAAAACGAAAACCTATTTCACTTCTTTATAGTTTATAGAAAAATGATTTATTTTTTTTTAAAGAGTTGTAACTTAGTTTTAAAAATCACATTTAGAGATGACAAAAAGTGACATAATCTGTCAATTCAACTTGAACCCAATCCAAATTTAGCAAGTTGTGTTTAGATCTTTAACACGTTTACATAATTACATAACTATCATCCACGCAAATAATTGAAAGTTGAAACTACAGAAACCATCCACTTTTTAAAATAATAATAATAATAATAATAATAATAATAATAATAATAATAATAAATGAAGCTATGACTTTTATAAAGTACATGGACCTTTACGCAAATTTGTCTATATTTAATGGGATTTTCTAACATTTTTTTTTAGAAAACGGAAAATATCATTGAAAAGACATTCGCGATTAGTAAGTAACTATCGAGGGGAAAAAGAGAGTAACAAAATACAGAGCACAAAAAGTATCAGATACAAAATAGAGATGATGACCATTCATGACTCATCCCATGAATAGGTTCCACCATTACGTCTACATTTAACCCACAAAAATAATGTTGATTTGATTCGCTCTTCACCATACAATGGCATAAAAACACCTGTCTAACGATGGCTTAAAAAACACCTGTCTAAACATCCGGTCATTATGATAATTTCATAGATGCCAGAAAAGACCATAACATATGGAGTGAAACCGGTCTTTTATCTTCGGACTTCTCCCCCAGTTTGAAGCAAAACCAAGTACTTCTCACAACTTTGGCAAACGGACCTTTTACCAAAATGAGATCAGCATCCTCTTCTTCATTGATACATGCGCCACAAGTGATAGTTTGGGTAATCATACCTCTAGCTCTAAGACCCACCATCGAAGCTATCTTGTTTTGAATTGCACACCATATGAAACAATTGACTTTGAGGATCTTCTGACATGTGCTCTAAAAGGACACTTAAAAACTATTAATTATGGGAAATATTACCATAATTAAATGTGAAATGCATTAATTATGAAGAATATTTTCTATAATTAATGAATTTCACTTTTAATTATAGTAATATTTCTTATAATTAATAGTTCAATTAATGCTTTTTATGTATGCGATTAGGGCATGCTAGAAAATCTCATATTAATTTAGGGAGTGGTTTAATCTAGAAATCGATATGCGGTAAATTATAGCTCCAAAAACCTTCTCGTTACATATAAAACGTGGATGATCGCTCCATTCGTCGTTTCAATTTCATCTCAGAATTTTGAGATTTTAACACAAAGATAAACTACTTGGTCGCTCTGAGTGAAGGGTATCTTCAAGTGATGAGTAAGATTCTAATACGTAAACCTCCATTTATTTTGTAAATTTTGTTTGAATTCTGTTGTTTATGATCTCTTTTGTTCATTCAAGTTGAATACATAAACTCTGTTTTTAGAATTTCTTTGTCAACTTTCACATTCCCGTTTAAAAACATAAATCAGTAAACCGATTTTCTGAAGATGTAGTTTGTTGGAAAGTTAACTGGATAGTGCCTAATTTTGCAAGGGAGTGGTTTTCCATATGTTATATGGTCATACAATTTCATTAGTTTGAGTTTCTATAAGTTAGGTTTTACCTGTAGAACTGATGTAACTATAAGGTATTAAGTTTGAGGATAAATAAGTAGATAAGTACTTAAGTACTTAAGGCAGAGATTTGTACATGAGACTAAACATAATACTATACATAACAAGGCTTTATCGATAACGTTTGGCATGGATGGGACAAGAACAAAAGTAGTTGTTGACCAAGTCAAATGAAACTATCTTATTAGATTTTAATCCCATCCAAAAAGGTGGAACAAAACATAGTTACAAAAATACCCCAACATTATTTTCTCATCTCTTTTCCTTCATTAAACAACCATCCAGACACCCTCTAATGGCCTCTTAAAACTGAAACACTTTAGTTATTATCAAATTCTAACCTCCTACATACCTTTGTCTTTTTATCTTATGAATTTCTACAATTGCTTATATATATATATATATATATATATATATATATATATATATATATATATATATATGTCTCGGAGACAATCCGGTCTTTTTAATCTCATGTTATGTCCCGTCCTAGTGATAGCAAATGCTTCATAGATAATTTGACTAGTTATGTCGAGTTCAATACTGTTCAGTCCAGTCCTATGCACCAAACACTACCTAAATGCACATAAAAAGGAATTAATTAGCAAAGACCGTCGTTTCAAAAAGAAATAGCAAAGAGTCAAAGACCTATACTACTCGATTGTGCTAATTTTATGTATTAACTCCCTCCTTGGAAGGCACCAACATAAGAACCTTTGTACTCAAATATCATACTTTTTGTGAGAAAAACTAATAATAAAAAAATGTAATATTAGATGCCATTGAACAATCACAAAAGTGTCGAAATTTCCAATGGACCTTACTCCCGATACCAATGTGGGAAATATACTTCATTATCCACCCCTAATAGAAAAGTACTTATATTTCCATTTATTTACCAACAAAGAGCAATATGTATAACCTGAAACTTGGAAAATGCTTACAAGATTACAAGTTTCATGTTGCATAATGTTATCATCAATAAAAATATGCAAGTGCATTGTTATTATCGGTAAGGGATTGTAAATGCATTTCTGTGATATCTGTATAAATATAAGTACATTGCTAATATGAACAAAAACAGAGTACATTATACAAATTTCAGGTTTTGCATTGTTATTGTATGTAACAAGATGTATTATGTTTCTATTATGGGTAAATGTAAGTAAAACTTAGTCCATGTCTCTTATTCATTCCAATTTCTTTGAAATAACTTAGGTATGTGACATGTGAGTCACTTTTCTTAAAAAATGCTCATGACCGTTAAATCATAAGTATTGTGAACGAGACATTTTGTTTCGCACAAGCTATGCTAGTATGCTACCACACCAAAAAGCTTCATTGATAATGAAAGGATATTAAGAAGAGTATTTGAAATGTCAAATTGCAACATGATTCTTATTAGATTTCTTTTTATATTTATATAACTTGGTCTCTTTTGTGAATCTAATAACAGATAGAAATAAAAGGATTGTTGTCAGTTGTGGTGAGGAAGATAATCTCAGTAACTTGCCAGAACACTTGATAGACTCAATCATAGAGAGGCTCCCGATTGAAGATGTTGTAAGGACAAGCATTATATCAAAAAAGTGGAGGTACAGATGGACCACAATGAGGGTGCTGGTTTTTGATGAAAATTTCTCTAATAAATTTGCAAGCAATGGAGATTTTGGTCGTAATAGGTTTATAGGTATCATAAACAAAGTCTTGTTCCTTCACAATGGTCCTATCTTGAAATTTCATCTCCATATATCATATATATTTCATGATAGCTTGCAAGCAATTGGTCAATGGATGTCATTCTTATCAAGAAACGGTGTCACTGAACTAGTCCTTACCTATTCAAATCAACATTATGAACTACCTTCTTATGTGTTTTCTTGTCTGGATTTGACAAAGTTGGAACTGAAAAACTGTATCTATAAGCCGCCACTTGAGTTTAACGGATTTCTCAATCTTAAAGAACTCAATTTGGAGGATGTTGATTTTGGGACTAGCTGTGGAAATAAGATCAACCTACCAAAGCTTAAGAAGTTGTTCCTTTTTAGTTGCAAAAATGTTTACAAATTTAACATTAAGGCTACAAAACTGCAGAAGTTGACTGTCATTGCTTGTCCTGATGCCTTGTTGCTCGGGTTATTGGACAGTCCATGTCTTATTTCAGTTTTCATTTCTTCACAGGATTACACACAGGATTTTGTAGGAGTTGAAAAAATGAATTTGGCCACAATGTTGAGTAACTTGCCGAGACTTCGATACATTTATACCGACAGTAATTTTATTATGGTAAACTTTTTTATTCTTAACCTTTTCTCTTCCCCAATTGTTGTTTGCATAAAGGGTTATACATTTCGTACTCTTATGTAAATAATACTAATGTTTTCTAGGTAAGTTAAATCTAACTTTCATCTCACAGTCTTTGGTTGTAGAAAAGATTCCTAAATTGCTTCCACGTGCGATTAGTCGTTTAAAGCATATGTGGTTGATCCGTTTTCAAGTTGATGATTTGGATCAACTTGATGTTGCTCTTTGCTTGCTTCGAAACTCACCGAAGCTGGAAAAACTCACTATTACACACCTTATGGTAAAGTGAAGAGTGTTAAAATCATATTATATATAAAACAAGATTTGGATGGTAAAGTGCTGTTGCGTTTTTATGTTGTTTTAGGAGCATCATATTGATGTGGGACCAGCTTCAAATCGTTTGGAATCCCCAAACTGCTTGGATTGTACATTAGATCAGTTGCAAGTTGTTGAGATGAGACATTTAAGAGGATCAAAACCGGAACTTCTTTTTATAAAGCTTCTTCTTGCTCATTCCCCTTCTCTCAACAAGTTTACCATCACACCAAATGGAGATCTTGATGCTAAAAAAATACATGACATTGCGAAGGATGTTATGCAATTCCCTCGAGCGTCAACAAAGGCAAAACTATTCTACTTGGATCCCTAGCCGTATTTCCCTAAGAATGTTCAACTACATTGCAATTTAGCTCTATAATTTCGTCATTATAAGTATATTTAGGTTATCTTTTATTTCTTTTTGTTCCTCTTGTCTTGTTTGCTTTGGGATGATTTTGATAAAAATGGCAAGTAAGACAGATTATTTCTCTTTATAGTTTCTTCTTTATAATTGAGTGCGAACCTACTCATAGTTAATTTTTCCTTCTATATGGTGTGTGCTAATACTTGTAAATAGTTCTGTGCACGAAGAAGGGAACAATGATTTTTCTATATACCTTCTTCTTTATAATTATTACTTTACCTCATTCAAAACAGAGATGTTATGTGTCTTTCCAAGTCCCTGTGTTTATTATTGGGTGTTATTTTGCCTTTTCGTGTACTTTGTCTTCCCTATATATTTGTGCTTTGTATGTATATTTTTCATTGAAATGCACAGAATACTCTTTTCTAAAGAGTTTTATGGTATTAGAGCATATCGGCCTCTTTCCTTCCTTCCATTTTCTCCCTCCTCCTCCACAGCCATGTCTACCTCCTCCACTGATAACTGTCTTCCTCACTCCCTTGCTCACTTTATACTTATAAAGCTTTGCTCCTCAAACTATTTACTCTAGAAATACCAAATGATTCCTGTTCTAACTTATCAAAATCTCATCTCTCATGTAGACGGTTCATCTATGCCCCTCTCGCAACCCTCACTGTCAATGAGAAATCCACTGAAAATCCTGCATATGTTGCTTAAATAGGATATTTATATATTATATTAATTATATTTAAAAAAAAACGTAGCACTTATACCTTTGAAATAAAACCGTAGATACTATATTAATATAGGATATTTATATAGATAATTTTTAAATGATATTTAATTATAATACTTCAGTTTTCCAATTTGTAGATACCTACAAAATACCTACGCCACATTTATGCCTACAAATTTGCTACGCCTCCTAAAAACCCAATTCCCACTTTACTGATGTCCAGCACTCATTGATCAAACCTACCCCAACAAAACCCTATCTTACACGGGCGATTTCTGATCCGTCAATTTCCCGCTCCACTGCATCACATATCCGTCGGCGTTGCCCCGTTCCACCACTGTTGCTACACCATACCACCTTCTGCGACACCCCGGGTATGTATTTCACTTTCATTTGCTCACACATTCACAAGACTTCAAATTTTCAGAAATCTAGTTTATGTATAACATGTAATGTTAATCTTGATTTTGATAAATTCTATGTTAAATAAGTTGTGTGTGTTGTATATATCTTCAATTAAGGTTGCATATCGTGTATATTGTAAATGTTGGTTTATTTTGATCAAGACTAAACAGTAAAATACTGCTGCATCAAGATATTGCAAGGAGGTTTGACCTAAAACTTCTATTTTTCTAGTTCAAAACATGTAGCTCACTATTAAACTATTGTAAGATTATTTGACTTTTTATTTCTTTTCGGTGTTTTAGCTTTTAATCTGCTACGAATTTTGTGTCTCTGTGTTATTTGCACATGAGTAGTACAAGGCAGGGTGAACACTTACAGTCTTTCACCAAGTGGTGTATGGCCATATGGGTATATAATAATAAACTATAAAGTAATATACCATTAGCTTAAGTAAATAATACTAAACTATAAAGTAATATACCATTAGAGTACTTTTAGCTTAAGTAGTATTTTGACCTCTTAATGTGATTTTTTTGTACTGTTTTTCTGGTATAAACAGATGTATTATGGGGCTTAATTCCACCCACCAATTATCACATAATTCTCTCTACTAATTATTTCTAATTGTATTTTGCAATTGTCTCAGTTATGATAATTTATATATTATTTTAAATGATTCTTTTTACCCATGGTTGACTTGTCAAGAAATGAAAAAAAAAAAAAAAAAAAAAAAAAAAAAAACCGTCAATGGTTTATTGGTTTAAGAGAATTTTGAACCAAGCTGAATAATACATAGAAAACAGCTCCTTTATAACATAATATGCTGTTGTGAAAAAGTTTTGCAAGCACTTATCATTAAAGCAAACAACAAAAAAGTGTTTAAAAAATTATATGGAAACTTAGAGGCAAACACAAAATATTATTTTCCCATTTAATTGTTATTTATTAGTTTTAAATTGTTAATCGGTTAGTTTTAAATAGTTTCATTTATTGCATCAACATATTTGATTAGTGTTTCATGTATTGCTATGCTTATTTGTTTAGGTTATACTACAATGACATGTTTATTTGTTTAGTGTAAAGTACATTGCTATGTTCATTTGTTTAGGGTTTAATCAAGTAGAATGATAGATTAAATGTTGTTTACAGATAGAAATGACATCAAATAGAGAATGGATGTACACAATGAGACTCACTACGAATGGGGCTTTCAATACCGAATTTCGACATTATGTCAATTATTTTTTGGACTTTGCTTACACGAACATAACAAACATCCAACATAGTATTGTGGAAGGGGTGGAGGTTTTTGAAATTAGATGCCCGTGTAAGAAATGCAAAAATCGTTATTACAAGACAAGAAATTTAGTTTAATTGCATCTATGCCAAAATGGATTCATGGAAGATTATATGTTTTGGTATACACATGGGGAATTATATCCAACACAAGAAATTGGTCAATGTTCAATCTCTGAAACGGCTCAAGACAATGATGAAGGTGTGGGTGATTATCGTAGATATGAGCAGATAATTATCGAAAGCATGCATCAACATGAGGCTCCTTACTATCAACAGGCTCCTTATTGTCAACAAGCACAATAAAACCCAAATCAATCAGCCCAAACTTTCTATAAAATATTGAACAAAGTTAGCGAGCCTTTATGGGACGGGTCTAAAAAAGCTTCCACACTCTCCACCACCACCAGATTGTTGAACTGGAAATCGGAGTGCAATGTATCAAACTCTTCATTTGATAGATTAATTCCTATAATCAAAGACAGTCTACCTATAGGTGAGAAGCTTCCTAACAACTTTTACGATACCAAGAAAATGTTGAAGCCATTACAACTGCCTTCACAACGGATTCATGTGTGTATAAACCATTGCATGTTATTCTATGGACATCATGCTAATCTGGATTGTTGTGCAGTATGTAATGAAAGTATATACATGGAAAAGGGCAACAAGGTTCCTAATTTGTTCATGACTTACATGCCTGTTAGATATAGACTTCAAAGGTTGTTCTATTCTAAGAAGACGGCTCAACATTTGACTTGGCACTCAGATCATCCGATAGATCATGAAAAGATGATACATCCCTAGTGAAGGTCGAGCTTGGAGTCATTTTGATGAAGTTTTTCCTGATTTTGCACAAGAGACACGTAATATCCGACTTGGGTTATGTACCGATGGGTTTAGTCCAAATAATTCAAATGGGAGTTCGTATTCATGTTGGCCAGTGTTTATCACAATATACAACCTACCTCCTTGGTTGGCCTTAAAACATCAATACATATTGCTTCCTTTGATCATTCCTGGGCCGAAGAATCATGGTCAAAATTTGGATGTTTTCCTACAACCTTTAGTGCACGAGTTAAAGATGTTGTTCATAGATGGCATTGAAACTTATGATGCTCATCGAAGGGAAAATTTCCAGATGAGAGCTGTATTGATGTGGACAGTTAGCGATTTCCCTGCTTATGCAATGTTTTCCGGATGGAGCACACATGGTAAGTTAGCTTGCCCATATTGTTTGGATCAATTAGAATCATTCTGGCTTCAAAGGGGAAATAAACATTGTTGGTTTGACTGCCATAGAAAATACTTACGCAAAGGCCACACTTTCAAAAAAGATAAGATTAATTTTAAGAAAAACATGACATCGAAGAGCGAAGTAGATATTCCGTACCCAACCAGAGAAGAAATTTGGCAGACAGTCAAACATTTTAACATTGTTTATGAAGGGACTTCGTATCGTCCAAATTATATAAAGCCGGATGGTTTTGGAGTGACACATAATTGGGTAAAGAGGAGCATTTTTGGGAGCTTCCCTATTGGCGTCATTTATTGATCCGAGATAACCTTGATCTGATGCATATCGAGAAGAATGTGTTTGAAAATATGTTTCATACAAGTATGGACACCCCCAAATCTAAAGATAAATTGAGCGCAAGACAAGATCTTGAGATGCTATGTGACCGGCCTCTTCTAAACCCCGTCCGGGACAAAAAAAAAAAAAAAGGGAAGGTTTGGATCAAGAAAGGAGACTACACTTTAGAGAGGGTCGATGTTAAAAAAGTTTGTGCTTGGCTGAAAAAGTTGAAATTTCCAGACGCATATGCATCGAATATAGGGAATTGTGTGAACATCAAAAATGGTAGTTTTTACGGTTTCAAGAGCCATGACTGTCACGTCTTTATGCAACGTTTGCTTCCACTTACTATTAGAGGGTTTGTTCCAAATATGGTATATGAGGCCATAACAGAGTTATTCATGTTTTTTCGAGTATTATGCTCAAAAACATTGCATATGGACGACTTGTACAACATGAAACACAGTATTGCTCAAACCATCTGCAAGTTGGAGAAAATATTCCCTCCTACTTTCTTTGATTCCATGGAACACCTAATCATACATTTAGCTGATGAAGCAATTCTTGGTGGTCCGGTGCAATACAGATGGATCTATCAATACGAGAGGTAATCATTTTGTTTGTAATATTAAGTATTAAACTTTTACACGTTCTTTTTAGTATTCATAACACGTTCTTGATAATTTCTAAATATAGAAAGTTGGGCATAATAAAAAGAAGAATTAGGAACAAAGCAAGGGTTGAAGGTTCAATCGTCAATGAACATCTAGTGAATGAAATCGCTACCTATTGTTCTTTATATTTTGCCCCCACGGTTGACAACATGACAACTCTTCAAGTGGAGATATATTAAGCGTATTTGCCTTTCCATCAAGAAGATTATATGAAAAGGGTGGAAAGAAAAGACCCTTGAAACATGAAGAACTTCACAAAGCACACACTTACATCCTACTAAACTGTGTAGAAGTTGCCCCTTTCATCACAGAATTTGATCGAGCAGCCCAAGCATCATATCAAAATGAACCAATTTCAGTACTTAGAGATAAATACTTTGCAGAATGGTTTAAATACAAAGTAAGTAAAACCAATTCAATCATACTTGTTAATTTTTGTATTTTTTTCAAGAAACATTTTGCATATATGCTCTTTAATGTAGGTAACGAGGGACTCAACTGATGGAAGTGCTAAACATTTAGAACCTTTAGCAAATGGACCCTCAAACAATGCTCGGTCTTATAACGGCTACTTTGTAAATGGTTATAAGTTCCACACACAAGAATATGGTAAAGGACGTGAAACAATAACTATAGACTATGCGTGAGGGGGGAGATATATAATGGCGAAGAGTCAGACTACTACGGCTTATTGGATGAGATCCTAGAGATTGACTATTATGACATTGGGTGCTCGACTGTTGTGCTATTCAAATGCACTTGGTTTGATAATATCTGCGGTGTAGTAGTTAACAAGAATAAATTGGTTGATGTTAAACCTACGTCTCATATTCAAACTAATGATCCTTTTTGTTTGGCATCACAAGCAGAACAAGTATTTTATACACCATATCCTGCGGTGACAGATGAATTAAAAGATCTTTGGACAGTTGTCAAGACAAAACCAAGAGGGGTATATGAAGTCACCAAAGCTGAAACGGAAGTTGCGCTTGATGGAAGTACTGAAGCAAATGGAGTCTTTCATCTTGATGAATGGTTTGAGTTACCGAATGAAGTAAATGTTAGTGAACGTTTGAACCTAGCCTCAAATAGAACTAACTTTGAGCAAATATCTTCCAATGAGAGTGAGAGTTCTGAAGCGGAAAACCAAGAAGATGATACAGATGAAGATGATAGAGACGAACCATTTTATTTTGACTACTATCCAGATGAGGACAAATGTTAGGAAGTTTGTTTTATGTTATACTAGTTGTGAAACCCGTATATTATACGGGTTAATTAAAACATAATATTAAATATGAGTGATTAAATGAAGAGTATTTTTGAATTTGAAATGTGAAATAAGTGAAAATTATGAAAAAAAAAAAAAAACATGCAAAAAATAAATTAATTAAAATTATGTGTTTAATTGTTAGACCCGTGTAGTAAACGATTTATTATTATAAAATGATAAATACAAATGTTTAAAGTGTTAATTTATTTGAAATTGAAATTGAAATTTCAAATTTGAAATTTGAAATTTGAAATTAGTAGTTATCATAGTAGGTTTAATTTATGGAAACTAAATTAATGATATAATAGAAAATAATAATGAAGTAATTGACAAGTGGAAAATAAATATATTTCAAAATTATGACAAAATGACATGTGGCCAAATAAATGAGTGAATGACAAGTGGCAATAACATTTTCATTTATTAGGGTAGATGGTATATACACTTTAATATATTTGTTATCTTGTTTTACTTTTAATTTATAATATGGTATGTAGACACTAGTCTATTTGTTATTTTTTATTATCATCTAACATATTTGACTGTTTTTGTTATATAAACGAAGCATGTTGGATAAAGGCCTAACACGTAACCTTTTTCCGGTTCGTCCTTCGTCGGGTGGTAGGTCATCGTCTTTGCCTAACCGTAGTGGCCTTCAACGCATTCCTCTTACAGGTGGTTCTGTACCAGGAGTCAGGTCATCACCTTTGCCTGATCCTAGTGGCCTTCCACGCATCCCTCTTACAGGTGGTTCAGTACCAGGAGCCAGGTCATCACCTTTGCCTAATCCTAGTAGCCTTCCACGCATCCATCTCACAGGTGGTTCTGTACCAGGAGCCAAGTCATCACCTTTACCTGATCCTAGTGGCCTTCCACGCATCCCTCTTATAGGTGGTTCAATACCAGGAGCCACCTTTGCCTGATCCTAGTGGCCTTCCACGCATCCATCTCACAGGTGGTTCTGTACCAGGAGCTAAGTCATCACCTTTACCTGATCCTAGTGGCCTTCCACGCATCCCTCTTATAGGTGGTTCTGTACCAGGATCCGGGTCATCACCTTTGTTTGATCCTAGTGGCCTTCCACACGGTGGTTTTGTATCGGGAGCGAGGTCATCGTCCGACCCTAATGGCCTTCCACGCATCCCTTTGTCGAGTGGCCTTTCACGCACTTTAGTTAGGACGGCAAGGTCAGGATTCTCAGGGAGTAGTAACATGGGTGACATAAATACCCACATGGGCTTGATTGATGCTATAGCAGATACAGGGGTGGTACAGAATATTGGGAATGGTATTGCATATGGTTATGAGATGACAAGCAACAATGAAGACCCTGCTAGTGATTTCTTTTATAATGGGCCTGAGCATGAAAATGAGCCTGAGCATGGGCATGAGCCTGAATCACCAATGGTTTAGACGCCCCATTATTCGGGTACACATGGTGGATCAAATGATGCAAACTCGAATGGCTCTCATAGGCCACTTATCACACGAAAGGGGTACAAGCAAGTCTTTTTTTTAATTATTATAAATTTACTATTTTAGATGTTATAATTATCCTTATATGGTTATTTCAATATTGTAGGTGTGGGAGACAAAGTATTCATCGGGCGATTGTAAAGATATTTTGGCAGTCTATAAATGAACCTTGGATTACTTCTAAAAAAATTCTAAAGGAAGTTGTCACTCAAATGTTTGAGCGTTTTAGGGTAATATATCAATTATTTATTTTTATTATCTATTTCTCATTCACTGTTATTTTGCATTTTAAACTTTTACTTTTTATTTTTTACAGACTCAATACCGGTGGGATCCAAATGAAGAAGGGTTAATTCGTGAAGGGTTTGAGAATACACTGAAAGATCGCTACAGGGGTAGAATGAGGGATGCTAGGGAAGCATCGGTAATTCTGCAAGAAAAGCTGGCCACATTATCGCAGAGATTAATGATAACTTTGAGATTCTTGCAAATTACAATCCTGCTGAAATACATATAGATGTTTAGCGATGTTTGTGCAGGGCAAGGAATCTAATACATTATTGCTTATTTTGTTGTTTTTTATTTTGTATTTTAATTATATATATATGTGTGTGTGTGTGTGTGTGTGTGTATATATATATATATATATATATATATATTACAGAAATGGGACACGGATGAGTGGAAAAAGTCGTCCAAAAGCGGAAAAAACAACCGTAACACTGATTCTGGTGGGGGGCAGCCAAACATACGGGTGGTAGCATTGGATTTGAGGAGCACCATCTTAAATTGGTAAATAATCCTAATTATAGATTTTAGTGATCCATTTTTCTTTCAACACTAATTATATCAATTATATTGTGTCGTTTATATAGAAACAGTTGACGGGTGAAGACCCCTCATTCATTGATCTTTATTATAAAACACATCTTACCGCCGAATCAAAGAAAATATATTTTGGGGGAGATAAAGAGGCGCAAGTGGATTTTGTGAATGAGACATCTAGAGTGGCGATCATAAGTTGTCTCTATCTTTTTATATATTTACTAATATTAGTTTTTACTCTTTAGTACAATAACAAAAACTTTCTTTTGGTATGTTGTAGGAATCATATAACACAGCCCTATCTCAAAAATATGGTGATGATCCGACTCAACATAATGTGAATGATCCTGAATTGTGGACCCAAACACAATTGCTTAGGAACGGCGGGAAACAAAAAGGTCCTATCTATGGGGCAGGATACTCGGATCTTCATTTTCTGATGATGGGTGCATATTCTTATGAGTTAACTTCAGCTTTTGCTGACTTTGCAAAGTCACAACAGGAGGTACTATTATTTATATAATATATTATAAAGAAAAAAAATCAAGTAAAGAGGTACTTAATATGGCTGAAAAATATATGTTCATATTGGTAAGGTACATTGTTGTACGGGTGAAAATTGAAATATGTTGTCATTATTAATATTAGGTAAAGTGCATTGTTATTATGGTTGAAAATAATACTTTGTTGCTATTATTAAATTAGGTAAAACATAATGCTATAATGGGTGAAAATTATAGTATGTTGCTATTATTGATATTTGGTAAAGTAAATTGTTGTTATTAATAATAATTTAAATATATTGATATTATGGATTGGAAATGTAAAGTACAATGGTATAATGGATAAAAATATAGTATGTTATTATTATGCATATAAAAAGTTATTATTATAGATGTTAAAAACAATGTACATTTTTATTAGCAATAGTGTGTTTTATATTGAATTAAAAGTAAAGTACATTGCTATCATGGTTTAAAGTTGAATTACATTTACTAACTACATGTGTTTGTCTTGCTATATTTAGGTAAATGAGTTGCGACAAAAAATGTCAAATGCGAAATGAAATGGAATTGCAAGTGCAACAAATGCGAAATGAAATAGAATTGCAAGTGCAACGACAATTGGCGGCCTTTATGAAACAAATTAATCCGTCCGATAATCCACCAAGTAGTTCTTAGTTTTTGTTTTAGAACACTCAATTAATGTTATGTTATTGACTAGTTCTTAGTTTTTGTAATGGTATTTTGAGTATTTGAATGTATGAATGGCATGTTAGTGGCTATTTTAATGGTAATGAATGTAATGGTATTTGACTATTATTTTAATTATTTATTTGGTTTTTTTAGCAGAAAATTTGGATATTTTTTAAATTATAAATCTGTCGGAATTATAAATTTAATATAGCAATAAAAACTGGTAAAAAATTCATAGAAAATCTGTAGGAAATAAATATTCAGTAGGTATTCGGTAGGAAATAAAATCCAATAAAATCTGTAGGTATTTCGTAGGAAAAAATGATGGTAGATAATCTGTAGGTAAAGTAGTTGGTAAGTATTCTGTAGGAAAATCAGTTGGTAGGTAATCCGTAGGTAAAGTAGTTGGTAGGCATTCTGTAGGAAAATCAGTTTGTAGGTAATCCGTAGGTAAAGTAGTTGGTAGGCATTCTGTAGGAAAATCAGTTTGTAGATAATCCGTAGGTAAAGTAGTTGGTAGGCATTCTGTAGGAAAATCATTTCGTAGGTATTCCGTAGGAAAATAATCCGTATGTATTTTGTAGGAGTTCCGTAGCTAAATAACCCGTAGGTAATTTGTAAGTACTCCGTAGTTAACATGTTCCATAGGTATTCCATAGTTAAAACTTGTAACAGAATATTCCATAGGAAATGCGTAGGAACGTTTGTAGCTATCTTGTAGGAAAAAATTACCCACGAGGGTTTTCCCTACAACCCGTTTTTTGTAGGAAATTTGTAGGTAACGCCTTGTTCCTACGGATTTACTACCAATTATTCTGTAGGAAATGTGTAGGAACGTTTGATATATACTGTTTATAAGCGTCGGAAATATCATATTTGCTAAAATCCTATTTTTTTCTTTTTAAACATTTTTATACTCATTATTTGTTATTTAAATCATTTTAATTATAAAAATAATTAAGTTGACCACAATACTCTTGGTGAATCGACATTACTCTGTTCTCTTACCACAATCACTTGAGCCCTGGAAACACAATCGACCAAATTGACGTTGAAGCTTGCGTTCACCTACTCAGTCGTGCTCAGATACATAAGAGTGGTTAGTTGGTCAGATTGCGAACTGCGGGAGGTGGTGAGTCTGGAGAACATGTTTTTCTCTGAGGAAAATGATTGAAGTTGATGAAGAATCAAAGCAAGTTTCTTATTAGGTTATCAGAGACGATAATGGAAAAGTCAACTTAGATTGCCCTGTTTTCAGGAAAGAAGTCGTTCCTGAGGAAATTTTTGCACAGGTACCCATTTCAATTCATCTTCATTGACCGATCTTCATCAGTCGTTTATTTTAATGGAATTCATCTTTTCTTACAGCCAATCATGGATTCGTGAGCTTGTTTTAAGCAAAAAAAGAACTAATTGTCGCTTCACTTTTTTGGCTTTAGGTGCTGAGGAAGCTTGTGTAATGTGCATCGAAATTTTTGAAGTGATAAAGTCATGAAAGAAGTAGTAACAGTGCCAACAACCAAAGATGTTGGCCGAATCGCAGGTATTGAGGTTCTTCTCATTATCAATGACCCAAATGCTTCATTAGCTTATGGTTTTGAGAAAAAAAACACAATGAAAAAGTTCTAGTGTTTGATCTTGGTGGTGAAATGTGCTTGGTAAGGTTCCCTTTGTCATCTAATTGTGATTGCAGAAGTACTTTTATCCTTGTGCCATTGAAAACTTAGATCCATCTTTGTGTACTCCAAGTTAGTGACAGTGTTTTTGACGTACTTTCAACCTCAGGAGATAGCCATTTAAGAGGAGATGTCAAGGTTAGGATCCCGTCCTATGTTACAAATAAATTCTTAATGACCAAAGGTCTAACATGTTTCTTGAAATTTAAACAGAGAATTGTTGATTGGCTAGCTCAAACTTTTCAATCGGGACATTATGGTTTGGATGTAAAAAAAAAAAAAAAAAAAAAAAAAAAAAAAAAAAAAAAAAAAAAACTTGTATTTATGCAAAAATGACTTTTTAAATGGAAAAACTGTATTTATACTGTTTCAAATGTTTAAAAATATATATATATATATATATATATATATATATATATATATATATATATATATATATATATATATATATTTATACAATTTCAAATGGAGAATGGTTGTCATTGAACAATTTCGGGAAAAAAATAATGTTGGATTTGGAACAAAAAAAATGGAATATCAAAATTGAAATAAATAAATAAATAAAACTGTGTAAAAATTGAAAAAAAAGTGGAAACAAAATATTTTTGTGTAATATTTTTTCAATTTTTATACGTTAGCATTCAATGTCAGAATGTCATGTCATGAAAACTACATATCATCATGCCACATCAGTTGGCAACCAGGTTGACCCAGGTTGACCGGTGAATTGGTCGGAGTTGTAACAAACTGAAAATTAAGTATCCAATTTGAGACAAAATATAACGCAATGTCAAACGAATTTTATGTAAACTTTATGACTTTTGTGCTATTTACTCTCATTTTAATTGAGATTTGCAAAAGTTTATTATATTTTCTAACTGACATGGTGTTGTTATGATTTATTTTAATAATAAGTAATCAACACATCAGTGATATTAATTGATACTTATTTGATAAAAAAGTTGAATTGGTATTGTTTGAGTTTATCACTCATTGATACTTATTTGATAAAAAGTTGAATTTGTATTGTTTGAGTTTTAAACAGAATAAAAAGATAAAATAATAATTTTTATCATTCAGCACAATAAATCATGATGATTTTAATAAGATGTAGATTCAATCAAATAGTAGACCAAGTTAAACCTTTGACAAGCAGACATCAAAAAAATATCAAATAGCCCCTTCATAGGTTTAAGAATTTAGCTTTTTAAAAAAACCAAAGAGAAAAAGCTTATATACATATAAAACTAAAGGTTCATATTTTAATTTTAAGATCTTAGCTACCCGCTATTTATTATTTTTGCATTTATACCCGTGGATTAGTGCTTTTTGCACGTATAAAGCCAACCTATTTAAAAATTATTTATCATGTAAAGAAATGAAAATATATTAGGCCCAGAATAATCAATGATTAAAAGTTTTCATCGAAAAGTACATTTTCTAACAATATAAAATGGATTTTGAAGCCGAAAATATATTCATCATTTTAATTACACGTTACTTTATAAAAAAGTTCATATCTAATTTACAAAAAAAAAAAAAAAAAAAAAAAAAAAAAAAAAAAAAAAGTTAATAATTCAGATCATAATTTTCAAAATAGAAGTCCCTTTGTAGTAATGTATTTGGATCCGGATGTATATTTAATATATGAACTGTATGGGTATGTCCCTAGAGCAATTGATTGTGGAAGGCATGGGAGCAGGCCGAGATCGAGTATGTATGATGGAGATAGAGTTCGGAACCCCTAGAGGGCTAGAACGGTATGCACGGGAGGATTTCCCGAAGGGATAGTTCGGAATGATGAATGCTAGTTGAGTGGTCCGGATAGACTGAAGGCCGGTAGGCGTACCAGTCAGGCCGAAGGCTCGGAGGACGGTCCAGTCAGATTGGCTGAAGGTTCTGAGAGTGGTCCATATTGGCTGAAGGTCTGGGGAGGCGGTCCAGTCATGCTGAAGACTCTGCGAGTACTGTTGGATCGGTTCGAGGTTATGGGTTGCGTATGTTGCAGTGTGATTACATTGGGAGGTCTGGCCCCAGTTAACAATCTTGAGCAGTGAAGGTAGTGCATGAGCTTGAGAGTCCCTGCGATGAGAGTCAGAGTAGTGGTGATGTATGGATGTCGGGTGCGCTTTAAGGAGATGGTGTAGCGTGGGGTGAGCACCATAGTACCTGTCATGGTGATATGGCGGACGAGTGGTTTCCTTGGTAAGGAAAGAGGGAGGAATGGAATTCCGAAAGGAAGTGCAAACTCACGAAAGTGAAAGCGGCAATGTGGAGTTATGATTAGAGTGGTCCGCCGATGGTTTTGAGTAGCGTGTTGCGGCAATGGAATAAAAGCTCATTCGACTTGAGATGTCTGCTCAGGGCGCAGAGGGAATTCCGCAGGCGTAGAGCCAGGGAGAGGGGTTCGGAAGGGATGCAGGGAGAGAGTCTTGGGCTCTCAGTGAGATTCTGATCAGGGTTTTGGGTATGTATTAGCGGTTCATCCTGGAAGGATGTTTGAGGATATCATCAGGTTTTCCAAACCTGAGGGTGCTAGAGCTAGATCAACGTGTGTGTGTGATTGCGAGCGGAGAACTCGAGGGAGTTGCTCCGGAATTGAAGAATGGGTCTTTCTGTCGTCATGGAATGGATAGAGTGGGATTCGGATCGGGGATCCGATGGTTCATGGTTTTCTAGCCATAAGAGTCAAGTGAAAGATGAGAATTGGAGCAGTAAGGCATCATGGGTAATTCTCGGTTGTTAAGTGCGGCTATCGGAGGGTACAGCTGGTGCCCGGTTTGAGTAGGTGGTTGGGACACCGTATGGAAGGAGAAAGTGAGCTTCTGGTTTCTATGGTTGTACCTTGAGGGACTTGGTTCGGTCAAGGTCAGGTGGCGCGTCGTGGGAAGAAATTTGAAGATGAGATGCCGTAGACTTCGAAGACGACGCCTAATTTAAGTGGGGGAGAATTGTAACCGGAATCGCAAGAGTAGAGTTGAAGGGCTAAAAGTGTAAGTTTCGGAGGGGGGACTCGGCGAGTCCATGGATAGACTCGGCGAGTCAGGTCGCGACTATGGTCGCGTATCAAGTGCCCTACTCGGTGAGTAGGTGCTGTGTGGAGAAAACCCTAACCTTTTGGGGTTGAGCCCTATATAAAGATCATTATGCCCCTCCACAGCCTCCTCTATTCCCCCCTTGAGTCCCAGAAACCCTAATTTCGTGGAGAGCCCCATTGTTGAGCAAATTAGAGCTTGGAGAGGTGTTGGTTGAAGAAATCTTGAAGGAGAAGTGGCTTGGATCAAAGGGCTTTGCTTGGATTCGAGTTTCATTGTTGTTGAGGCATCCTTTGGAGGTAATACTTTCGTTCTTGGGCTGTGTTTTCCTAGTTTCTCATTTTGGGGTTGTGTGGGGAGCTGAGTTGTGTGGCATCTTGATGTTTGGAGGATGGATCTGAGGTTGCTACCTCAGATCTGGAGTGGAGAAGATCTTAAGAGCATTAAAGCCCCTGTTCTTGTGTTGTTAATGGAGCTATCATGTCCCAAACCTTGGTTCTAAGGTGAATAAGGCCTAGATCTCTTTAGATTCACGTAAAGTTTGCCACTTTACGTGATGGATGGATTGTAGGAGGTTGGATCTATGTTTTGGATCAATTGCATGGCCTGAGATGCTTCTGTATGGATTCAGACCGGTGGTACTCGACGAGTCACATGGGTGGACTCGACGAGTTGCTTGAAGATGGCCTGGAACTCGGCGAGTTGGAAGAACAACTCGGCGAGTAGGTTGAAGATAGCCTTGGACTCGGCGAGTCTGTTCTTGGACTCGACGAGTCTTGTCGAGAAGTCCCAATATTTCTGGTTGAGTCGATGAATCGGTGAGTCAAGGGATGACTCGGTGAGGGGTGTGAGTGGACTCAGAGTTGTTGGACTCGACGAGTCTTGGGGTGACTCGGCGATTTGGATCGCTGATTGAGGGAAGTTCTGAGCTTAAGGACTCGGCGAGTCATCGGGTTGACTCGGCGAGTAGGGTCAGTCAGGGGTTGACTTTGACTTGTCCAAGGTTGACCAGTTGTCTTCCAAGGGTATTTATTGAGTTGTATGTTTTGATGTTCAGTGGAGGAGTTCGTGTCAGAGTTCGGAGCAGCGGGATCTTATCCTTTCAGCCGGCAGTTTCGAGGTGAGTTATCCTCACTATATCAACAGGGTCTAAGGCACCAAGGCCGGCCCTTTATTGGATTGAGATTCGGATATGGTTATTATGTTATTGTTTGATGTGTCTGCATCCTGGTAGCTAGGATGGTACATGCTAGGAGACCTTGTTAAGGTCAGTTTCCCGATATATAGAGTGATGCTATGCTAGTGACCGGTTAGGTCGGTAACCTGGTTAGGGTAATGATATGCTATGTGATCTGCTTGCTCGGTTTGTTGACTATGACTGTTATATGATTGTATGTTTTGTGCACATGGTTGTTTGGACTGGAGATGGGTTGAGGCGGGTCCTGCTTTGTGCTGTAGGCCAAGATACCCAGGGCGGACCGGTTATTCCGAAGGCCCAGCGAGCGGTCCGGATAGGCTGTAGGCCCCACGAGGGCGGACCAGACGTGCCGAGGCTCGGAGAGTGGACCAGGCCGACTGAAGGCCCGATGCGGGCGGACCAGTCACACTGTAGACTCAGAGAGTGGACCAGGTGGGTTGAAGGCCCGATGCGGGCGGACCAACCCCACTGTAGACTCGAAGGACATGATTAGACCTGGAGGATGGATCCGGTGGACTGAAGGCCCGATACGGCGGACCAGTCACACAGTAGACCCGATATGCATGGCTGTTCTATGTTATGTTATGTTATGTATGTTTTATATGTTATGGGCCGGAAGGCAATATGTTTTGGACCGGAAGGTCGCAGCCTGGAAGGGCGTATACGTGGTTGGTATTTTTGGGGTATCTCACTAAGCTTTCGGGCTTACAGTTGTGGTTTAATGTTTTTTAGGTTCTTTAGGAGACTGTGGCAAGGCGAAGGCACGATCGTACCGCTCCTCATGATTTTGTAGCAATGTGATTCTGGGAATACTCTAAATGATTTGTATTGAAAACCTTTTTGTAAACAATTTAATGAAAATTGGGTTATTTTGAAAATTTTGAATTGGTTGTATTTTTCGGTCGTTACAGAAAGCTAACCCAAAAATCTAATTAATATGATATTGTTCGATACTTGATATCGATTATTTAGACTCGTAGGGTCAAAACTCATATACATTCACACAAAATGCAATGAAAAATATGATCCGAATAACATTTAACTTGCATTTTCATATTGCCCAATTTATGTCATATTCCATTATCCCTTTGTAATAAATTGATTTGAGCAATCATATTCGGTGTAATTGATTAAGAGCACGTGTAGATCCAAACCATAACAATATATTAACTCTATGATGTTTGCAACATACTATCCATATGATGAACAAATATGAGGAAAATATGTATATTATGTATCAAATTCTATTACAAACAACACTTGAATAAATTCAGACATAACTAAGTAATAAAAACATGGCAGACAGATGTGACCAACCCTTCATGCTCCTGATTCTCTACTCCAGCACGAGTTGATTCCAAGACTTAAAGACCAAAATAAATCACCTTATTGATGGTAAAATATTATGAAGTATGCTTATTTATGTTTTTATGAAAACTTTTGGTTTCACACACGAGTCATATGGAAAAACGAAACGAAGACTTCGAAAACAATTGAAAATTTAATCAAAATCCGCAATGTTACAATCAGTGAAAGTTTAGAAAAGATACATGAAAAAGTTTCATAGAGTGACAACAAAAACATAATCTTCAAAAAAAGATACATTAGTTTAAGGATAATTGGTAAAAAAAATAACGTAATCTTCAAAAAAAAAAAAACCCAAAATTTGGATCAGTTAAAAAAAAAAAAAAAAAGACAAGATATTACCAAACACGAAAGCTTATTTCGAAGTCTTAGCAGGTAATTTGACTTTTGTTGTAAACAAAACTTAATTTCTGATTAAACTGTACCTAAAATATTAGAATAAAAGTCTCTTTTAATTAAATATAATATAAAATAATAGAATATGTATTTAATTAATTTCACTAGAAATAAATATAAACAACAATGTTGTATTTCATTTCAACCAATTAAACAACGGTTCCCCACTATTTAAACTTTAAACTTTAATTTCCTTTTTGTCCGGTTCATCGATTTAAAAAATTAAAACAAATAGAATATCTTTTATTTCCTTATGTTCCTTCTTCTTTTTCTTCGTCTTTTATTTCCTTTATTAATTTAAATCGTTTTTATTTCCTCTATTAAATCGTTACAGTGTGAACATAATTGTTTTATAGTGTTAGTCCTTTATCTGATTGAGCAGTAAACCCTAATTCCCAAATTGATAGACAGTTTACCCCGACGGATATACTATTTGTTCGTCCGATTGTAAGATGGGTAAGTTTCTAATTCATAAGCCTCCATATTTTTATTCTTCGAAAGTCGTGTGTTTCGTTTGAAATATGCTATTCAGGATCTCTTTTGCTCCTTCCAATTGGAAACGTAAACTATGTTTTTGGGTAGTCATTATCAATCATTACGTATCCACAGTAAAAAAAAAAAATAAGGAAACCGATTTCCAGAAGATTTATTACATGACATTCGCAAGATAATTGAATAGTTTTTAGATTTGGTTTTGTCAGGGGAAGCCATTGATACAACTTCAAGCTTGTTCATAGCTTCCGAATCCATGCAGGCTTCCCCACAGATTTCCCTTCGATATTCCATGTTTTAGACCATTATGATGTTAAAGACACTTGGATTATTATCTGTTAGGGTTACAAAATGTAATTTGTGTGTCACATATCCTTAAAAAAAACTTACAACCATCAAATCATAAGTATTCAATGAGATAGTTTCTTTTCTCATGAGCTATGCTACCACACCTAAAAGTGTCATTGACAATAGGAAGAGTATTAGAAAGGTCAAGTTGCCCCATGTTTCTTATTGGATTTTATTTTCTATTGATATAACTTTGCCTTTTTTTTTTTTTGTGAATCTAATAACAGATAGAAATAAATGGAGGGTTGTCGGTTGTGGTGAGGAAGATAGGATCAGTAACTTACCGGAACACTTGATAGACTCAATCTTAGAGAGCCTCCCGATTGAAGATGCTGTAAGGACAAGCATTATATCAAAAAAGTGGAGGCACAAATGGACCACAATGAGTACACTAGCTTTTGATGAGCACTTCTCCAAAAAATTCGCAAAAAATAGAGCTTTTGATCATAACGGGGTTATAAGGATTATAAACAAAGTCTTGATCCTTCACAAGGGTCCTATCTCAAAATTTCATCTCCATATACCAAATATTTTTCTTGATAACTTCCAAGAAGTCGATCAATTCATGCTACTCCTATCAAGAAACAATGTTAGGGAACTCATTCTAACTAATTTAAATCGCAGTTATGAACTTCCTTCTTATTTGTTTTCTTGTCGAGAATTGACAAAGTTAGAACTTCAGAAGTGTCGCTTCAATCCACCACTTGAGTTTGAAGGATTTCTCAACCTTGAAGAACTTCTTCTGAAGGATATTGATTTTGGTTCTAGATTATGTGGAACTAAGATCAAACTACCACAGCTTAAGAAGTTGACCCTGCATATGTGTAAAAATGTTTACAATTTCAACATTAAGGCTACAAAACTGCGGATTTTGACTGTGGCTGCTTGTCCTGATGCCATGTTGCTCCAGTTGTTTGACAGTCCATGCCTATTTGTGGCTGGGATTGCTCTCAAGAAACCCATACAAGATTTTGTAGGAGTTGAAAAAATGAATTTGGCCACAATGTTGAGTAACTTGCCTAGAATTGAACACTTTTATGTCGACAGTCATTTTCTTAAGGTAAACATTTTATGCGTAACCTTTGCTCTTTTTAAAAAAAACTAACTTTCATCTCACAGTCTTTGATTGCAGAAAAAATTCCAAAATTGCTTCCACATGCAATTTATAGTTTAAAGCGTCTGGCGTTGTTGTATTATCAACTTGCTGATTTGCATCAACTTCGTAGTGTTCTTTGTTTGTTGCGGAACTCACCAAATCTTGAAACGTTGTGTATATTCATGGCAATGGTAAAGTAAAGAAAGAATGACAAAACTACAACTTTTTTGGGTTATATGATACAAGAATTAGATGCTAAATTGTGGTTGCATTTTGTGTATTTTTAGGTTCCTCGAGTTGATGTGGGTCCAGCTTCAAATCATTTGGAATCCCCAAATTGTTTGGATTGTACATTGAACCGATTGCAAACTGTAGAGATAACATATTTAGAAGGATCAAAACCAGAACTGCTTTTCATAAAGCTTCTTCTTACCCGTTCCCCTTCTCTTGACAAGTTTACTATCACACCAAGTGGAGCTCTTGATGCTAAAAAAATACTTGACATTGCTAAGGATGTTATGCAGTACCCTCGAATCTCACCTAAAGCGAAAATGTTCTACTTGAATCCTAAGCGATAATCAAGTATGTAAGAATGTTCAAACACATTACTGATTGTTAGAACTACCAAGTATGATGAAATTTTTGCATTTACATTAACAAAATATATACAATTCGCTCTTTCTTGCAAACTAGTGTTTTGTTGGTCTTTTCACAAAATATGTACAATTCGCCTGCTATAAACTTTCACATTAAAAAACAACTTGTTTATTATTACTACTACTTTATTTAAATCACAGCAGTTTAAAAGCAGATGATAAACGAGTTACGAAAATGTTGATAGATAGATACCTACAACCGAAATAAAGACTTCAACCACCTAGAATGTGAGACTTATATAGAATCTCCCCTTTACACACCTACATATATGTGTAACCTATTTGCTTTGCTACCCTTGCGATTTTCTTATTTCCACAAAGACCTCGGTCAAGTTGGGTTGACATGGCTACATGGCCCTAGCTTTTTGTCTTTTTACGTTTAAGATATAACAAACAGCTATTACAATCCAACAAAGTTTGTTTATTAAATTTGTTTAAACATAAGATTAAGTAATAAAAACTGTGATATTAAAAGTTATATATAGTAAGAAACAAGTGCTCCATAGACCAAAAAGTTCATCTCTATATAGTCCTAGTATAGTCCCAACGCTTTCGTGAAGATCCAAGTGCTAGTATGTTTTAAAAACCGGTTCTAGCTGGTTGGAACGGGAACAGGGGATGAAGGCGGTTCAATAGTGATTAATTTATGGCAATTTCTATACCGGATTAAACCGGATGGTTTCCTAAAAAACTGAATTGAACCGGTCCATTTGATCAACCAGTTTATTAGACTTGGATAATTTGATTTCACCTAACCTTTTAAAAATGCAGTCCATTTCCAAAACAAATTGAATAGATTGATCGATCACGTTATCCGTAGTGTATAGAACTCGAAAGTTGATGCACGTCACTACTAGATGTAGACTGACGGTAGAACAAATTTAGCCGGCTGTCGAACCGGTAAACGTTCAAAAGACCAGTTCAACTAAAAAACCTTTTTAAAACATTGGTGCTAGTCGTATGGCCTTCTTTATTGAAAAGTTATTAATCTTATGTGCTTATGGGTTGATGGAATTTCTTAAATCCACCCCTCACAACTAGTTTTATTTTACGTTCTTATTTATTTTTTACCATATTAATTAAATTTCACTAAAAATAATATATATGTGTGTGTGTGTGTATATATATATATATATATATATATATATATATATATATATATATATATATATATATTGATGGACAATGGTCCAAATCATGAAAGTTTTGGATTCGTGGTGATGGTCATACCCTCATGTCATGATAGATCAAGTCTAAAATAATTGGGGAAAGTCTCTTCGTCATGTCGTGACCATAAAATGGTCACGTCGTGACTCACGCAAAATGGGTATCTTAATACATTCAGCCCTAATCCTTGAACCCATGCATTCCAAATTTCTAGAGGGTCTTATAACTCTAAAATGAACCTAAAAATCGATGTTTTATGGACATGAATGTACAACGCATGTCCAGATCTTATTTTGGGTCAAAATGAAGAAAAATCATCAAATCTCACATGCAAGGGTCAAAAACACATTCAATTTCCAGATCTGAACCACATGATAAACATAGGATCTCAAGGATCCATAAAGTTGTCAACTTTATAGGATCCCACCTTTCTAACTAACTCATACATGAAGACAATGGGACAAAACTATAGATCTAGCAACCTAGCACAAGAAAGTTTAGATCTTGGATACTTACAAAGGTCCAGACTTGCTCAAAATGAAACTCCAAGCTAGCTAATGTGTTCACAACTCTATCAATGGCTCCTTCCTCCTTTAAAAGCTAGTACAAGCACCAAAATCAGCCCAAAAATAGAAGAGACGGATTAAGGTTTCATGTTTCTAGTTTGGAGGTGATGGAGGCTAAGGGTGAAAAAAAAACCCTAGCCCCTCACTTCTTTTAAATAGGGTCCACAGTCTGAAAATTAGAGTTTTCTATTTGATCAGGTATCACGTCGTGACACTTTAATGACCCAACACGCATATCACAGCCAAGTCACAACGTGAGGTGCTTCCTTCACGTCGTGACCCCCTTCAAATCCATATTTTACTTAATTCATTCGTACCTCCAAGATTCGAACGTAACAACAAGTATGTGAAGAAACTCAAACTCGACATCCAAATCAACGATGAAGAGGAAATTACAGGTTTGCATCTGATTTCTAAGGTCCACAAATGTATGTCTCTGTCAAATATCCAGCTCTCGAGTTTGAGATCTAATAGTTTATCAAGTTTTCTTCCCTCTTATTTCTCTAATCTAAAATACATAGTTGTTTTGCCCCTATTATACGCTTGATCTATAGTTGTTACAAAAACCATTTAACACTCGAAAGCGGAAAAATTGTTGCCCTGATGTCATCGATTGTCCCCTATTATACGCTTGATCTACAGTTTCTTCGTGTTTCTTGTTTCTGTGGTTTGAGTGTTTAGATCGGAGGATTTTCCAAAATGGAAGAATAGTGGGGTTTTTTATCTAGTTGTAGGTTTAAGGCGACACTCTCCAATAGCGATGGTAGTTTTAGTTATAGGTTTTAGAACAAAAGAAGGACAGGTGGAGTTGCAGGTCTAGAAGAAGTTTGCAGAAGTTATTGCTCATCCTCGTGAAATTGAGACGACATATGAAGGTCTAGAAAGGGTCAATTTCACTCAAGGTCAACTGATCCTTGCTCTTAATAGTGCTAGTGGTGTTGCACTTGATAATTCTATAGATGAAAATCTGATTATTCTGATTAGAAGACATCATAGGGATAGAGATTTATTAATATATATATATATTATATATATATATATATATATATATATATATATAGAGAGAGAGAGAGAGAGAGAGTTAGGTTCAAATGTTTCTAGCAACTATTGTGTGCATGAATGCACCAATAGGAATTGATGAATAATTAAATAATTAAAAAATTGAATAAGGGTAATTATGTAACTTTAGAATGATAATTAAAATAAAATCCCTTAATTAATGGGAATTACCATAAAAATCTCTTTGACCAACTACTTAACCCTAGCCCTAAATCTAACTCATCATCGTTTCTAATCCACAGCTTCTACTTCTTCTTCTACAATCAATCATCAATATTCAAAACTTATTACCAGGTAATTATCCTTCTCCAATCAATTATTAAGATTTTCTTTCTTTTAATAAACTCATTTTTTCTTTAATCGATCAATCATCATCGGTGATGATGGTGGTGGAGGGAACTTGTCACAAGAATTGATGGAAAACGCGTGTAGCCTCTTCCTCGTCTACTCTGCTACTTATAAAATGGTTCGATTATGTTTCAGGCAGTCATGGCCAACACAACTTCCCCTTATGTCCTCCAAGTCCTTAATCTCTCCCTCTTATAAGTTATCTCGTCTCACGGTTGGCTTCTTCTACTGCTCTGCTTCTTCACACGACTAAACCCTTGTAACTGAAGATGAAAAGGGTGTCGCCACCAAATAATTTCAATCCCAGGTACTTTTAATTTTTTTTTAGGCTAGTAATTCAAATTGACACCTGATACTGTTGCATATAATCTCAAAAGTACTTAACTTTTTATTGTGAAGTATGTTTTCCAGATTTCAAAACCCAATTTTGATTGCCAAAACTTAACCTAGTATATATGGAAGAAATTAAGTCACTTACGGTTTTGGAATTTCTTAGATTCAATATTTGCACAAAACAGTGTAATGCTACTATTGTGTTTTAATCAATCATCTGTAATTTCCTTTATCAAGTTTAGGTTTTCCCAGAGTTTAGCTACAAATTCAGTCGAGTACTTGATCTTTTTCAAAGGATGGAAAAAATTTATTAAGGTTTTATCAAGACCTAAAAATACATGTTTTTATCTAAAACCAAGTCTTGATTGATTCGATCTACCTCACTCAAAACTCAAAAGTGGGCTCCTGTGTGGTTGGTGTGCCACTTCAAGTCTGTTGTTGATCTGATAAAGAAGGCTTTACTTTGAGGAAGGCTACAAATTCTTTAAGAATATTTAAAACCATTCTGCAAGAATAGTTTATTCTGTAAGAATATTTTTGTTTGTATTCTGAAAGAATTGCAATTAATTATTTGTATGCTTAAGGTGCGGTTGTTAGGATGATGCAGGAATGATGAGGAAACTTATGAAAAAAAGATATATGATACTTAATTCTCAAAGAATGAAGAAAAACAACAATATTCTTTCAGAATTTCAAGATTCAACATCCAAAAACAACAATATTCTTTTAGAATTCAAGAATTTAAGAAGAAAACATGGCACACGATAGTATTATAGCGGAATGTTGTTATTTTTTTTAAGAATGTTATTCATTTTTGTTTATATTCTTTTAGAATTTTTATAACTATATTAAAATGTATAAGACTTTTAGTCTGTAAGAATATGTATGAATTTGTATTTAAGTTCGGATGTATAAGAATATATTAGAATGTTTGTTATTTGAACATCTAATTCATGAATTTTGTTTTATTTCAGTAATATTCAATTAGAATAAAATTCTGAAAGAGTATCATTCTAACAAAAAATATTCTGATAGAATAAAATCGGTAAAAATTGAAATTGAATTAATTAAAAAATTCAGATTTTTTTAAATTAGGAGAATTAATCATCCCTAAAAAGCCGAAAATTTCCTTTTATAAATGTAGTTAAGTGTCCAAAATACCCTTTTGATAAAAATTGTGTGATTATATGATACATGCTACCCTATTGTAATATCATAGACCCTCAGATCATTATTGTTGATTCTATTCATCCGATGGTCCAGATCTGTGCATTCTGGCACACAATAGTTACTGGAAACAATATAACCTAACCCTATTTATAATGTGATTAAATCTATTGATGTGGGCCCTAACGGATTGGATGATCTATTATCCATAATACGCCCCCGCAAGATGGAGGATCCATCGGAGACACCAATCTTGGATCTATTGAGCAAAAACAGTTCTCAAGAGAGTGGCTTGGTAAGCATGTTAGCCAGTTGATCTTGGGAGTTGATGTGGAGTATGCTAAGAAGTCCAATAGATACATG